CAACACCGCATTGTCGAAAATATTTTAGTTGGCTAGAGAATGTCCGAATATGCCCTCCATTAAATTTTCAAAGTGATCCGTTGTCTGGTTCACCAGAAACGTCTAATGTGCCATCCACCGTGAATCAGCCTGTATATTTTTGGAGGCTGAAATTTTGTATGTAGATTCGTTTTATGTTGTAGATGTGCAATAAGAAAATATTTTTCAATATTCCAACTGGGGAGTCTGCCGCGGAAAAAAGCGCGTTCATGAAATCAAGTTACATTTTCATCACCGTTTCTCTGTAGGTACTGCTATATTTTTGGAGGCTGAAATTTTGTATGTAGGTTCGTTTTATATTGTAAATGTGTGCAATAAAAAAAGATTCCTGAATATTCCGACTGGAGCGCCAGCCGTGGGGAAAAAAGTACGTCTATGAAGAAATATTTTTCCATCACTGTTTCTCTTTGCCTCTAAATTCCTTGTGGGTCAATTTATATTTATATCCAATATAAAAAAACAATTGAACACAGGGTATGTATTGGTTTCATTTTTTTATTGTAATTTTCCTGTGTGTCTTCAACATATTAGCATGGACAAGAACAAACAAGTGGAATTCGAGAGGTACCACAGTATGAATAGTACACAGGATGTTCATTTATACATAGAGTGCATTTCTTTAATGTGCCCCCCTTTTATTTTTTGAACGGCTCAACTCAAAAAATTGAAATTAGGGATAATGAAATCAATGCATGAATACTTCATTTCGAAGTAAAATTGACAGATGAAACTTCAACTGGGCGCCATCTGGGAAAAACAATTAATAGAAAGGGGGGTGTTTGAAGGTGATTGACAATGTTTCATGATGAATTTCACTAGTTCGCACTTCCATTGTCTAATATATAAAATGTTTTTGAAATCCCCGAAACCACTAAAAAAGAATAATTATAAATGAATAGCTGAAAATAACAATTATATTAAGCAAAATAAACCTAAAATGAAATAACAGTGAATTAAAATACAAGTAAAAATAGAACAATTGAATAAATTGAAATGAAGAAATGAAAAAAAAAATAGAAACTGGAGAGATTCCAAGTCTTGTTAGTTCACGACGTTTCGATTGTTAGTATCTACAATCGTCTTCGGGTGATGACTGGACTGATTCCTCCGAGAGATGACTATTTATAGGTCGTTCGAGTACTTTCACTTATCCCCGCTTTCCATTTTCCGCTTCACTGGTTCCGTGGGAGATGACCGTTTTGGCGGGAG